CGCGCGCGCATGCGCCGTTGCGCTTCTCCCCCTTCTCGAACATTCGACAGCTGACAGTGCATGCGCCGTCGCGCTGTATATATACTCAAGGTCGATGCTCGCTCGCTCAGTTGCCGCTCGTCGGTTGGTTTGTACGGCGCGTCGACGTCTGAGGTTGCAATGATCGACGTCCCTTCGACCAGCGCCGGCCAAAGTGTTGGCGGAACCGCAACCAAGTCGTCGTCCGAAGACAAGGCAGCGCGGAGAAGAGCTCGCGACGCCGAACGTAAACGTCGGCATCGAGCGGAAGATGCTCAACTTAGAGAACGTGAAGCCGCTGAGAGACGTCAGCGTCGAGCAGCAGCACCGGATTCGGCCGCTTTGAAACGTAAGCGTCGACAAGAGGACCCGGACTTTCGAAAACGGGAAGCCGAGTGCAAGCGTCGGCGACGAGAGGCCGATCCCGATGCTGCCCGCGAGCGCAAGCGCGCCGAGGTAGCGGCGTGGCGTGCCAAGCAGTATGCCACGCCCAACGCTCGCTTCAAGCGCGACTTCCTCGACCGAAGCTTCGGCCACACCTGCAAGGTGTGTGATCGTCTTTGGTTCGATAACAACTTAACTCGGATCGGCAACATTCAGAACAACTCCAAAGCGTTGTCGGTTCTTTGCGATACGTTTGGAAAGGGCACCGACTATGCCGACTACGTCGTGTGTGCTACGTGCAAGCAGTCGTTGATTGCCGGTCGAGTTCCCTCGGCTAGCGTGAGTTACGCTCCGCATCCTCCTCAGTGTTCCCCCGAGGGAAGCTGCGGGCAATTTTTTTCGTGTATTTGAAAGTACCACAATTAGTCACGCTTGCACCTAAAATCGCGTACCAAGAGGTCTTAGGTTTGGTTCCTGCCAATAAAACTTTTGCTTGGAATTTTTTTTTTTTGCTGTGTTTGACCACGCTTGTCTTACCGATGCATACCTGTGACGAATATGCGTCATGACCGTCTTGGTGAAATGCCGCATAAACCACTCGCGTGTTTAGAAACTTAAGGCCCTATGAACTCCGTAGAAAAAAAAAAGAGGCATGCCCTCACACGGGCGAGCAAAGCAACGCCGAAGAAGGTTACACCACACTTTGCCAATTGACGCGCCTCATATACTATTTCAGGAGCACAGAGGGCCAGTGTGATTCATAAAATGCAATACTAAAAGCTGCGTTAGCGAAAGAACCTGCGTAAAAATACCGTGGCGATTCTGACTGGAAGTGATATCGCAAGATCTGCCTTCGCCTCTTTGCCCGACACTCAATTAATCCGCTCGCAGCCGAACCCACTGTGTTTTCCGTTAGAATAAGTACTCTGTGAAATATTGGACCAGTTTTATGGTCGTCGGGCAGCATGGGCGAACTGTGCCCTCCTGTGGCCGCTAATCCACTGGCGCTAAAGGATGACAGTCGTGTTTGCGCCTCCCTTTGGACAGTTGAGTTCCGGGTTCTTGGTGTCGGATGAACACAGCCAGCGCCACACTCCGCAACGGTTGCGTGATCACGTTATGCACGTGTCTCCTACCGTTATTTGCGCGGTTCGTGCATCACCAACTACGGAACGTCTGAGAAGATAGCCTACAAATATAGACAGTTATTTTTACTGGTAAAACATTTTCCTTCGATCCTTCACCGGGTGAGAACATTGATTAGTTTTCAACTTCGTGAAAACATCTTGCACACTCAACTTTTCGTAACGGCAAGAATGCGCTGGCGTTTTTCACGGAGAAGAGCTTAGACTTGTGCGTTTGTCGCACTCTCCCCGCTGCGTGTCCGGGCGCCCCGCCACGTAGGGCGCCTGGATTCACGCGCTTTGCAATGTGCGGCGCGTCAGAGGTCAATGTGTTTTAATTTTTCGACGTGCCAAATTGTTGTTGTAAATTGAATTGTTGGAGGAGAACAGGTCGACAAGTGACCACTGCGCCTCGTTTGGCTGCGACAGTATCTCTCAGAAGCGTGAAAGACTCGAAGCCGGAACATGCGAGATGTAACTTCTTGGAAATGACTTCGCATCGCGCGCCTTCTTCTCTAACAAATGCTTATTCATTAAAGCTAGTATCAGCACTTGTGGCCATTTCTTCATCTTACCAATGGTCATTCTACTTGGGTACTAGTATACACTGTATCGTCTGCGCCAAAGAGATGCAAAGTCAAAGCTGATGGCTAATGCAGAAAACCTGCTTCTCAAAATCATCGTGTAACATCAACATCCCTCATTCTCACCTTAAGTACATGAGTTATAACGCCTGCACCTGGCGAAGTTCAAGCGCGCGCATTTGCGAGATTATCCAAATAGTACTGTCCAAGTTACATGACAGAAAGGCCCACACTCTATTCGCCTCGTGCGCTGCTGATTTGAGCAGTACTGGTGGTGCCACCAATGGCGAACGGTGGCGAAAAGCGGATCACTTTGCTCAACTTTGCGCGAAGTGCCCGCTATTAGCCGTATTTTTTTTATTTCGTTTATATTCTGGTTTGATATTTTAACGGTAACAGCCATGAAGTTTGTTATGTTGACGGTTCTTTTTTTATTTGTTTGAAAATTACGAAAGGTCATTTTTTATCGTTGTGGGACAGCGTGGTGTAATGCATTCGTTGAATATGTTTGCGTGACGAGCCAACACCAGTGAAATAAAAGCTGTTGCAACATAGAATAATCTTGTTTCATTGAAGACCCTGAACAGTACAACAACAATGCAGATCATGGTTGTGTGCATGCTTGTGAAACGCACAACAAACACATATTTTCAACTCCGCCAGCATTTTCAACTTTGTTGAGCTAATTATGAATAAAAGCAACAAAATGAAAGCTCAGTAGTGTTTTAACAAGTATCAGAGTTGCATAATGACGTATGAAAGCATTAGAGAATATAAGCAACAGAGATTCGCATTTTTCTTTATTTCAGAGAGCATAGAAAAATTATGTCGAACTTCCAACTGCATTATTTATTTATTTATTTATTTATTTATTTATTTATTTATTTATTTATTTATTTACAACATACTGCAGGCCCACATGGGCCCAGGCAGGAGGGGTAAATTGCAAAACAAAAACACAGTATTTCAAAAAGCGAAAAACAAACAAAATAAACGCTTACATTTCAATTTCAATGTTAGGTTATGAGAAATCAATCAGGTCTATCGACTCAACTGAATCAATCAATGATAATGGCAGTGAGTTCCATTCGTTAATAGTGCGAGAGAAAAAAGAAAATTTGAAGGGTTAGTTCTTGTATGATATGGAGTTAAAGATTGAGGATTATGATGTCTGGTTAGTCTAGTTGATAACGGGCGTAGATATGGTGCAGGATGAAAAGAGATTTGATTGATTGATATGTGGGGTTTAACGTCCCAAAACCACTATATGATTATGAGAGACGCCGTAGTGGAGGGCTCCGGAAATTTAGACCACCTGGGGTTCTTTAACGTGCTCTCAAATCTGAGCACACGGGCCTACAACATTTCCGCCTCCATCGGAAATGCAGCCGCCGCAGCCGGGATTCGAACCCGCGCCCTGCGGGTCAGCAGCCGAGTACCTTAGCCACTAGACCACCGCGGCGGGGTAGGATGAAAAGAGAGTTTATTATTCTTCAGAAGAAAAAGAAATTTGAGCCTGAGTATTTTACGTCTTCATTTCAATGTTTGTATTCCATGAGTTTGCATGAGCGCTGTTTGCGAATCGGTGGAACGGAATTTAGAAAAAATAAATCTAACAGCTTTGCGCTGAACCATTTCAAGTGCGTTAGTATTGTGGTGGGTGTGAAGATCCCAGACGTTCGTATTCAAAAGTTCCTGATCTTCTCGACAAACAACCTCATGATACAATATGCAGTCATCAGCAAATAAGCGAATTTGAACTGGCTCTGTTATAACATTAACGATGTCACTAATAAAAATCAACATCAGGAGCGGTCCCAGTACACTACCTTGTGGTACCCCCAAGTAACTGGCAAACTACGCGAGTGGTGACCAATAATAGAAACGGATTGGGTGCGATTGCTTAAGTAGGCGGAAATCCAATTAATGATGAAAGAGGGGAGGCCAATGCATTTTAGTTGGCAAAGTAACTTTTTATGTGAAACAAGGTCGAATGCTTTCTGAAAATACAAAAAAATTACGTCAGTTTGACCAGGTTTGTCAAGGACACTTGCAAAACTGTGAATTACAGTTGTTAGTTGTGTGACCGTAGAAAAATACTTCCCTGAGTCCATGCTGAGATAAAGAAAGAATGTTGTCTGTTAAAAATTTAATTATGTAATTTGCAACAATATGTTCAAGAATCTTACAGCCGGAAGAAGTGAGCGATATCGGACGATAGTTTGTAATCAGTGCAATGTCCCCTCATTTGTGTACGGGCACCACACGCGCCGTTCGCCAGTCAATCGGTAGATCTGAAGATGACAAAGATGTACGAAAAATGTATGCGTGGAACGGGGCGAGTGCTTCTGAATATCGACGAAGGAATGCATTTAGAAGGCCATCAGGACCAGATGATGATTTTTTCTTCAGGTTAAGTAGCATAGCTACAATACCTGGAAGCGATACAATATCTTCGTAGTGTGAGCAACATACAGGGTCAAGAGTAACTTTTTCTGAAGAAACAGAAAAAACACTGTGAAAATACATATTTATATGTTCTGCAATGACATCCTTGTCATCAATTAAAACACCATCGATTTGAATCTCGTTAACAGACCTTTTTTTTAAGAAATCCCAGAACTTCTTAGGGATTTCCTTTAGAAAATTTGGTAAGATATAATGAAAATAATGCCATTTAGAACGTCCCAATGTTTCACTAAGCGCATTTCGAGCAGTATCAACAACGTTTGTTGATGCTCTTCTTTTTTTAAGGCGCTTAAGCTTTCTTTTTAAGTGCAAGACGTCTCTCGTTATCCAGGGATTCGACTTTTTTGTTTTTTAGCTCTGTTAGGTATAAAATTATCGAGACAATAAGTGCAGATCTGTTTAAATTGAACCCACTAGTTTTTCAACATCCGAACTTTGAAAATTGCTAAACACAATCTCAAGATGATCCAGAACGCCCTCATCCCTGGCACGAGAAAAGTTAACAAAAGCTATTTCGGGGGGCGCATTACAGGGTTTATCAATGTTATACGATAACAACACCATAGAATGATCGGAAATACCGGGATTCACAGACACTGAAAATTCTTCAATAGACCTAGCAACAAAAACAAGATCTAGGATTGAAGAGGATGCATCACAAACTCGCGTAAGCTCTGTTACCACTTGTTGCACATCCAAGTTTAGCATAATATCAAGCAAAGGTCCAGCATCCGTACATCGACCAGTATTTGAAAATGGATAGTGCCAGTCAACAGAAGGTAAGTTAAAGTCACCTGCAATGATTACTTCATTACTTGAAAAAGGCCGTAGGTGGTCACATAGATCATGCAGAAATTGGGACGGTGCATCTGGAGGTCGATAAACTGCGGAAAACAAGAAAGTACGCCCTGAGCAGAACACTTTTAAGGTAACGCTTTTGTGGTTATCTATCTGACGTACCAGTGACGCTCGAATTCCACATTTTATCAAAACAGCCACACCCCCGCCTCTAGTAGGGCGGTCACGGCGAAATACTTGATATGAGGGCGGAAAAACATCAGTATCGTCTGTGTCATCCCGAAGCCAGGTCTCCGTGATAACAACAATATGGGGATTATAACATAACAAAATAGCTTCTAGTTCTACTGATTTGTTGACGATGCTACGCGCATTTATGTTAATAAGTTTTACTCGATTTGCAGAAGTCCGCACTGGTCAATCATTTTTAGAATTACGATGAAAGGACGGCATCTTTACTCTAGTCAGAAGATTTTCGTCCCAAATGAAGAGCTCCCTATTTACACGCAGTTTATCATTAATAAGAGTAACATTCTTTCCCTGTTGTCTGTCATCCTCAGCACTTGCCCATAATAGCTTTCTTTTTTGCAGTGTCTCTCGAGAGTAATCATTCTGAATGGATATTTTTGTCCCCTTAAGCTTGCGTGCGTTTTTGAACAATGTTTGCTTCTTCTTATAGTCCTGAAAATAAACTATAATGGGTCTAGGATTGCCGTTTCTACCTAAGCGATGAATTCTACCAACAGATAGGCAAGATACCTCTACCTTAACTGAAAAAAGATCGTTTAAAACTTTTTGTTTTAAGTCTGAGTGTTTCTCAGAAGGGTCTCCCGGAATTTCAAAAATAACTAAATTTGACCGTCTACTGCGGTCTTCTAGGTCGGTTAATTTCAATTTCAAGGCATTATTTGATTTTTCGAGTAATTCGACGTGGGTAGCTCGTTTTTCTATTTCAAGAAAGCGCGATGTAAGATCAGACATCAATTTTTCCATATTATTCTGCTGATCTCTCGGAGCAGTCATTTCCTCAACTAGCTTATTTTGCCCAGCCATTAGCTCCTTCAACATTTCTGTTGTTGTAGGACCTAGATTAGCCTCCACATCGCCACACAAAAGAAGCGTACACACACAGAATACATCATAGGCAATTGTAATACACTGCTGTGGGCACGGCAGGACCAGAAGGCCACGATAGTCAGTCACTACAAATGCTGCTGTAGACGGCACTAACCTGCACGAAGCAAAGAAGGGGGTTCCGTGACCACATGCCTCTGCCCGGTCCGCCGTACCCACTGAAGCTGTAGCTCTGGAGGCGATCTTTTATAGGCCGTTGAGATGACGTAGTCACAGTAGATGGCGCCGTCGTCCGTATTTCTACGAAGAACGGAAGGGAGCCATAATCCAGTTGGTATACGGTAGCCACTTTAGTACACGTGTCAGTAGGCAGACTCGTGGAAATGTCGATGCAAGATTTCGGTACAAGCTTTCCGGCGAAGCCAAACAGGAGAGCCTGCACGAAGCAAAGAAGGGGGTTTCGTGACCACATGGCTCTGCCCGGTCCGCCGTACCCACCCATTGCAATCACGTACTTCTGAAAATCTAATCGCCAACACCGTTGAAGTCACAATTCTCCATCAAATGCATTCCAAATTCAAGACGAAAAACACAGGAAGTTCACACGCGTGCCATTACATTCAAATGCGAAATGCGCACGCGTGTAGTATGTGTACATCGTATGCTAGATTCTCCTGTGGTAGCTGAAAATCATATGACGTGTGATTCTATAATTAATGTTTGTGGAATAACGAGCATATATAAGGGCGACTACCAGCCTCACTCACCTTCAAAGAAATAATACTCCAATTGCAATTCATTGTTAGCCAACGCAACAACGATACCAACATACTTGTTACCCCACACTGGTGTCAATTAGACGCGCAAGGCCGAGCGTGGTGTTTCAAATGTAGCACAATTGTGTGCGCACAGTAACGTCGCATAATTTGCCGTTGTACCAGCGCGATGCACTACCTGTTTTTCTACTCGGGTCAAAAAAGTGCCGTGATGCTGAGAGCTACACAAACGGCCGACTGTCAAGGAAACCTGTGGTCTTGTAGGAGGCTATGTTGTACAACGACTAACGTACAAAAGCGCACGTCTGAAGCATTTCTGTTGCTGCGACGGCAGCTGAGCAATGTCGGAGCTTAGCGTCCGATGTGTGGCCACCACCTTTACACAGTTTTGACGTTACAATGTTCAAAGAAGACGTGATTGCGACAAAAGCGACAAGCCGCCGGTCATGTTGGGAACGCTACCGTCTGAAGAGAGCCCGCTCTTACGTCAGCCAAAAGAATAAAAGAATGAAAATAAAGCATGCCAAGGCGGTTAAATCGAGAAGTAGTCTCGTCGATAGTGGCTCATTCTTTAAAAAAGCACTGAGGCCACAAGAAAAAGTGTAGCTGGACGGGCTTCTTTCATTTTCTGTTTAAAAATTTTTCCCTTTCTTTCATTCTCTCTTTTTGTAGCGTAAGCTAGACTGGCCGATGTTGAGCAGTCTTGCATAGCTTATCGAGACGTCGCATGGGTCACAGCTGGCACACTGGAAAAGACCTTGAAGCTCCTTGAGTGACGTATCACTAGTGCACTGGCGCTTCACTCGCGTGAGCTCGCTCGCTAGTCCGTCCGTTCATCACGCTGCATATATCCCGGCATAGTCGAGCTAAGCCACATCTACTTTTTTCTGTCTGATTTGTCTCCATTTATTTCTACCCATTTATTTCTCTCCTTCTATCTCTTTATTTATGTTTCAGCAATTTTTTTTATAATTTCCTCATTTTTTTAGAAATACATGAAAGGCGAAATGTAAGCATGCGATGAGCAAAATGGCAGACAGACAGCGGCTGGGTGTGGACGTTCCTGGATGTGAACTTTTTGTTTTCAAGGCTGCGACACTTGCAGCCTCGAACAAAAGTCTTCTTGTCGAAACGTCGGCTCCAACACCCACACCGTGTCTCATTTTGCCGGTTTATCACTTTCCGTACTTTTTCTCCGAAGTTTTTTGCCTCCCGCACAAGATGAACCGGCGAACATGTTCCGGTCGAACAGAGAGAAGTCGAAGCGCGCGTTTCAAGGTGACGACCACTTGTGTTCATGGACTAATGGCGAGCTCAAAGAGCTGCAGTGTTAAAATTCAGCAGCTCTTTCCCCTATTGTGAGACCTGAGCCTGCAATTTCGGTAGCACTGTTATTGTTATTACTGGCTCCAACTGCTGCTACTGCAATGCGGGTAGTGTGGTATCGTGCAGTTTAAACGTTACCTGATGTGCGGTAATGCGTAACGATGATTAGGTACTCTTATAGAGAGGTTGCGTTGTCACGCACGGTAGAGGCGGTCCACTTGTTGAGGCGCTATTGACGTTGCGTGGCAGCTGGCTTCTGACGCACCGCGGCTGAATTAGTCAGGCGATATAGACGTTCCACTTGCGCTTGCTTTGAGTTGGGTTTACACGATTGGCTTGCCTGTGTTGACAAGCCGCAGTTGTCCCTGCTTTAACCATACCGAACTTTTGTTTTGGCATCTTACGTTCTGCAGCTACTTACTAAGCCTTCACTTAAACAGACACAAGCTAAAGTCTCTAAGCTTGTCGCTCTTATCGACCAGTGGCTGTTCGCTGGGCCTTCAGCTCAAGAGTTGGGTAATCCTCGAAGCTGTCTTTCCAGGCGCGGTTGCCGAACAGCGTGTCACGATTGGGCGCTAGAGAAGTGCCGCTGAGTGGTGAAATCACGCACCAGGTGACGCGGTGGCGCCCTCTTTTCAGGGCACCAGAAGCAGCCGCAGGTTCTTGAAATATTTTTAGTAATTTTACGTTCATTGCAGAGATTATTTTCGGGCCGTTTACGTTAATTATATTATTTTATATCTTCATGGTTTTTTGTAGCCCGGTTTCCATAATTGCTGGCCTTGTCTTAGGTCTGTACTGAGCGCTGGGTTTGGAGAGCGATCACGTCACATTAATCGGATGAACGGAGGACTATTTAAGTGCAACACACTTAAAAGGAACGTTACTTTCCCACAGTGAAATCCTTAGAAACAGCGACGCGTTTTTCGCTTCATTAGAGAAGCGCGTGACACTCTTTAAAGTGTGTGGTATCTTGAAAACGCTTGTTTGCATGCGAAAATAAGAATATGACGCCGAGTCTCAGTATCTCAAGGTGTATGTAGTTCAAAGCATCGATTGTAGACTTATCTTATGGTCGAAAACGTGGTCGGGTGTATAGGAGAAAACTCTGCCTGTGAGCGCAGGTCCTTGCCCAAGCTGAGCAGCGAGGATGCGACGGGTGGCTGCGAAGCGGGGCTGTCGGGTGGCGGTGGGCTCGTGTCGCCTCCTGGCGGCGGCGGCAACTTCGAGCCCATCCCGCACGAACACGACCTCTGCGAGCGGGTGGTGATCAACGTGAGCGGGCTGCGGTTCGAGACGCAGCTGCGCACCCTGCATCAGTTCCCGGACACCCTGCTGGGAGACCCTGGACGCAGGCTGCGATACTTCGATCCACTGCGCAACGAGTACTTCTTCGACCGCAACAGGCCCAGCTTCGACGCCATCCTTTACTACTACCAGGTATCGCACCCCTGCTTGAAACGCTTGATTATTTATTGCATATAAAATATTTCAAGTAAGGTTCTGTGGTCAATAACGAGCTTTACTATGAGGTGGGTGTACTTCAATACTGCTAAAATTACGACGCAGAGGCGATGTACCGTTTTGCTGAAAAGTACAATAAGTCATGTAATTTTCATGAAAAGTGCACAAAGACACAAAATGACCCGTTGATTTTCAGCTTTAAAAGTTACGAATTATATGCGACGCGCTTGATTTTCATTTCTGCCTCTTGTGGAGCCATCTTCGTCTGTTAGCCGCATTCTTCGCGCAACTGTGATGAGCCGTGGACCTGCGACACATACGGTTTCCCCCGCGCACACATTTAGAGCACCTACAAGACCTCGCTACGTTGAGACCTCTCATGACCACGTCGCAAACTCTCTTCAACAGAATGGCAACCCCATCAGCGCGACGTGCACTGCAACTTCTGGATTGCTTCGAATCAGTTCTTGCAAGGCTTTCCTAACCGTCTCAGATTCCAGTCTCCATTTGTAAAACCACGGAAGAACCAATCTCAAATATTTCTCGGTTGTGACCGTCTAAGTGTGCGTGTTCAGTGCTGATGTGTGTGTTTGTGCGTATCACTTTTTATTCGTTTTATTCCTGACTTTCTCTTTTTGCCATTTAGTGGCGGGTCGCAAACCAGATACCACCTGCTTAACTTTACCTTTCTTTCTGAGTACCTTTGATTCGTGGTGTGATTCGCCCCGCGGCCCACACCTGCGCTAAACAAGCCATCGATTTTGAGAGGATATCCAGGCATTGGCTCTGGCGACATCTCGCGGATGAGTTCGCGACGACTGGCCTGGTTTTAGAACTAAACCCAATGTAACGAAACCAAATTTAATGAAGTTTTAGGTCTAACGAAGAAATTTCAATGCCCAAGCAACACCCATAGCTCTCAGTGCTATCACCAACCCGAACTGCCGAACTAGCTTGGCTCACAAAACCATGTTCAAGAAATTTTCTTCCATAAATACCAGAACACAAAAACGGTAATTGCTTTCCAGATTGCGTAGGAACAGGTTCTGGTTCGAGCAGGCGCTCTGATGATATCACACTAAAACGTCTGGAAGCAGTGCTTTCGGCTCTCCCGTTTTACTGTGAGGAGCCATTCTGTAATGGAGAGAAAAAAGGAGGAGAGACAGAGAGATGTAAAGAAAGGAAGAAGAACTAAAAAAAAAACAGATAAAGCGATGCGCAAAGAGCTAGAAGGACAGAAAGAAAAAAACACAACCGAAAGAGAGAGAAAAAAGAAAGCAACACGGAGAAGATAAAATAAGACGAGAAAAACAAAAAGTGAAAAAAGTTAAAAAGCACAAGAAAACAGAGAAAGAAACAAATGGACAATGATGACATAGAAAATGTAGGTAGGAAGAAACAAGAGATATAAATAAATTCGGCTGTCTTGGGAATCGGTGTTATGCGAAGCACGCGGTTGCAAGGTGTTTTCATTATTTTATTGAGCGAGTCGTGATAAGTGGCGCTCAATATGTGCACATGATAACGCGCACACACACGTTAAATAACCGCATATGTTTCATGTTAGCAGGGTTTGCAGTTGCGTAACGATACCAACAGAAACATTGATATCACCAGAAGCGGTAAGCTAATATGAAGCGCTGGTGTTTGCGCTGGGGCTCACGAAGATCCCGTAACACTGCTACACTAATAAACCTCGGCGGACATCGCCTATCGTACACAGCTGACATTAACCCAACATGACGGCTGTCTCAAAGAAGCACCTATGTAATGCTTAGAAAATTTCACAGCCATCTCTGCATGTCGAATTGATGGTTCACGAACATTAGGGTGTCTTCGCAAAGTATTTTCAAAACCTGGCGTGGCTTTGTGGTAAAATACTTGATTGCCACGCAGAATCCTAGGGTTCGATTGTTGCCGGAACATGTATTTTTGCATTAGACCGGTCAACGAGGCCTGTGGCAGCTTTTCTTAACGCTGAAACGTTAAAATTACCCATTTGTGTTCACGCCGTTCCTGGGTAGATATAAGATGTCTATCACCTGTGGCACATTCCTGCATACCAGTGGCACATACCCCACCCTAGTATGTGCCATAATATTTAGGAAAGTGTTTGACGACGTACGCGACAAAATTGTGACATTACTCATGCCATGACCAGCGCGTCATGCGATCTTACCCTCGCGTACTAATTTTGGTGTACCCAAAGTTAAGGAAGTGATTATGAGAGCACCCGACGTGAATGGATGGATGGATAGATGGGTGGGTGGATGGGTGGGTGGGTGGGTGGGTGGGTGGGTGGGTGGGTGGGTGTATGGATGGATGGATGGATGGATGGATGGATGGATGGGTGGGTGGGTGGGTGGGTGGGTGGATGGATGGATGGGTGGGTAGGTGGGTGGGTGTATGGATGGATGGATGGATGGGTGGGTGGGTGGGTGGGTGTATGGATGGATGGATGGATGGTTGGGTGGGTGGATGGATGGGTGGGTGGGTGGGTGGGTGTATGGATGGATGGATGGATGGGTGGGTGGGTGGGTGGGTGGGTGTATGGATGGATGGATGGATGGGTGGGTGGGTGTATGGATGGATGGATGGATGGATGGACGGACGGACGGACGGACGGACGGAGTGGTGATTATATGAATGGATGGATGGATGGATGAATGCCACATGTGCTTAGAGTACTAAAACAAAAGCTTCGCATACACTAACAAGGAAAGCTGCCCGTCGTTCCTTGAGACTTGGCACAACGTGCCTCAATCATTTTTTTTTTCATCTGCAGACAAGGCCGACGGTGCATGTTTAAAGCTTAGAGATATCTTAAAAGCTGGTAGTGTGCGTGGGTACAATTAATTTCACTTACATCTTTGAAAGATTGCAGGAATGGTTACAAATCTCGTTAACGGTGGAGACCAATCATGAGGCTATCCGTTTGGTCTGCACCACTCGCAAGTCGCGTCCTGCAAGTTCTTCGTGAGCATCGATTCGCTCCTCTCGCAATAGGTCTACTCGTAATTACTATGACTTGCTAGAATAGGGCCGTGGAGCAGCAAACGTGGACCTCTTTGCAAAGACGGCCAGCAAAACTAGAGCATTCCTGTGCCGCCAATCGTTGCAGCACTCCGAAGGAATCCTTCGTGCGCATGATTTATTGTTGCAGTTGCTGCGCTTGCCTTCCATGTTCATGAGAATGTGCTGAATTGCTCCTTGGTGCTTTAAATGCGGTCTTTCTGTGTACATGGTACACGCGGGATTTGAAGAATAGTGATGCGTTGTGTTTCCCGCAGACTGCTGAGAAATGCGGAAATGTGATTGGACACATTCAACAGATTTAACACACTGCGCAAATACTTCTTGCATTTCTGCATTCTGGCACTCCTTTGGGGAGTAAAATGCCAAAGTTTAGCAGGAGTCATAAACGGTGTACCACAGGGTAGTGTATTAGGTCCGCTGCTCTTTAATGTCTATGTTAATGACATTACTAATATTACCACCTCTGTTCAATTTATCATATACGCGGATGACACTACACTTCTTGTTTCTGGTCCGGATTCACAGAAATTAATAAGACAATGCAACGATCTACTGGTTAAGTTATCTCAATGGTCGATTGCTAACTGCCTTAAAATAAATCCTACAAAAACTAAAGTAATGTTATTTCGCGCTAAAAACAAATCTCTGACTTGCCAACAAACGTTATTATTTGCTGGTAAAGAACTTCAAATTGTTGATGAACATAAATTACTAGGCGTTACTTTTTCTTCGCATCTTACTTGGGATAAACACGTAGAAAATATCTGTAAAAAACTGTCAGCTATAACAGGTGCTTTATCTAGATGTAGGTATCTTCTTCCACCGAAAGCAAAACTTAACATTTATTATGCTCTATTCTTTTCTCATTTAAGTTATTGTAGCTTAGTCTGGGGGACTACTGGGAAAACAAACATTATGAAATTATTTTTACTGCAAAAAAGGATGATTCGGCACATTGACAATATGGGCTTCTTAGAGACAACACGGCCAGCTTTCCTAAATCATAGAATCATTAAAATAGAACATCTTTACACTTTTCGCCTACTTTATTCCTTCTATTTCTCTAAAAAATATCTTCATAATTTTCTTGCGTCGACTGCATCGTTGACACCTAGAATCACTTCCGCCAATACTAGAAACAGTGACATGTGGTATGTTCCTAGATTTCGCAATAATTATAGGCTACAATCATTAGAGCACAACTTGCCGCATATTTTAAATAAATACAAAGACGTCAAGTGCTTCTCAGCCAAGGAACTCAGGACTCTCTTTGTTAACATGTGATGACTTAACGTATTACTATTATTGTTTTCTATGTTTCACTTGTCAGAGCAAATTGTGTATGATTTCCTGTCTTCTTCTGCATTGAATTTTTGTTTTCATTGTTTTTCAATAATTTCAGATATTGTTGTGTACATTTGCCACATATGCCTTGTAACGGACCATCGACCCCGTCAAGCTGTTTGACAACAGCTTTTAGTCGATGGTATCCGCCAGAATCTTTGTATTTCTGGAAATAAATCTATCTATCTATCTATCATTATTGAACTTTTTTTTGTTAAGAGAACCTAGTGACCGCTTTTTTTTTTTGCTGATGCAGGTGAGAGCTGTTTGCAACCTAGCACTGTTGATGAAATTATCCCCGACCTTATTGAGTGTTTCATTGCATAATTTCGAATTACTGTAATAACCTGATAACCATGCATCACGGAAGGCCCCAGTGAAAGGTGCGGGGTGGAAACCATCTGCCCCCTTCCCCCTAAAATTTCGGCGTCCTCTCTTCCAAGAGCTAGCATGTTCAAAACACAGCGCATACGTACAAATCTTACTTGTCCCATCCAAGGAATACACTTGTCATGGGTGCACTCCCAGTAAGAAAACTCTGGAACCACCCCCGCTGTACATAGTCAAGAATGAAATATATAAGCGTTTTTAAATAGCACTGTAAATGTCGGCCTTCCACAAAAATTTTTTATTAATGATGCCGTAATGAATATCAAGAAAATGTTCTTGCAGTAGTTACCCAATGAGTGTTTAGAAAAAGCTCTGAAAGGCCGCTCCTCTAGCTTTCGCTGTGACCTTGCTGCGCCTTACAAGCAGGCCTGGCGTTTTTTCATGGTTTCGGCAATCAAAGCAGCCGGCATGCAGGCGATTTGGGACATCGATCTGTGGTAGAAAGTTCAAGCTCAGACGGCGCAGAACAAACTTGATTTATTGCAACGATGCATCTATATGCCACGTGGTATTTAACTTTTCCTAAATACTTAATTCCGACTGTATTATGTAACCCTTTGACACAACACATGCACAATGTCTCACCATGCATATTTCAGTTGTGCGCGCCAAGTACACTGGTTGATGACGGCATCGAAAAGCGGCCACGCTTCGTTTTGCTGAGCGGACGATTCTCTGCTCTATTCCATTGCACCCTGTAACCAATACACGCCGGCTGAGAATAAGAAGCATAGCTCTCTGTGCTTTCATTCCCCCCCCCCCGACATTATTATGTGTTTTGATGCCTTTGATGCAGCGTCCTTGGTGTTATTTTCCTTGTATCTGGCACGCGCTCGGCATGTCGGGCACATTGATAAAGCTCGAGGCAGTGACGCTGCTTTGTGATGACAACGCAGAGCGGCGGCCGACTGAGGCGACCAGTGAACGTTCCCCTGGACGTGTTCGCCGAGGAGATCAAGTTCTACGAGCTGGGCGAGGGCACATTCAACAAGTTCCGCGAGGACGAGGGCTTCATCAAGGAGGAAGAACGTCCCTTGCCCGGACGCGACCTGCAGCGGCGCGTGTGGTTGCTCTTCGAGTACCCGGAAAGCTCGCAGGCTGCCCGCGTGGTAGCCATTGTGTCCGTGGTTGTCATTTTGCTCTCCATCGTCATCTTCTGCCTGGAGACGCTGCCCGAGTTCAAGCACTACCGAATGTTCCCCGCCGGCAACAACATGACGCGCGTTGTAGAGGACGAAGTACCCAAGCTCACCGAGCCATTCTTCCTGATCGAGACGTGCTGCATCGTGTGGTTCACTTTCGAACTGTTCGTGCGTTTCTGCGCCTGCCCTTGCAAGCTGGCGTTCTTCAAAGACGTGATGAACAGCATCGACCTCGTCGCCATCATCCCCTACTTCATCACGCTGGGCACCGTGATCGCGCGAGAGCGCGAAGGGCCTGGGTTCCTGCCACCGGACAAGAGCTCGAACCAGGCCATGAGCCTGGCCATACTGAGGGTCATCCGGCTGGTGCGCGTCTTCCGCATTTTCAAGCTGTCGCGCCACTCCAAGGGCCTGCAGATCTTGGGCCGCACGCTGCGCGCCTCCATGCGCGAGCTGGGCCTGCTCATATTCTTCCTCTTCATCGGAGTCATACTCTTTTCGTCGGCCGTCTATTACGCCGAGGCCGACTCAGATCGATCATACTTCAAGGTAAGCAACTCGTTCCCGCACTTTCAGAGAGAGATTGAAGTCTCGTCCGACGTCGTCTATCGCTAAACGCGTCTCAAGCATGAACTATTGCACTGTTTGACGCGGTTACTCGCAAGATTACATCTTAATTGAACAACATGGTCACTGTGTTACATTTCATCAAAGCCATGGTAATCAGCGCACATATACTTTTTGATAACGTTTCCATGCCTTTCACGAAAACGCAGGCACGACACCTCTTCCGAATGGCGCCCATTACTTTTGAATCGCCGCGCATACAACTATCCACATTTGTGAAATTTTCTTCATAGCGCTTCTATGCGCTTTTCCTTTCATTCAACAGTAATTAACTATCTTCGAGTAGTGAATGCTGTAACTTCGTATTCTCAAACAAAAATCCACCTGCTGCTTACTTCGTCTTCTTCTCGTGCTTCTTCTTCTTCTTTGCCTTTTTCTTCTCATTATTATTATTATTGTTGTTGTTGTTGTTGTTGTTGTTGTTGTTGTTGTTGTTGTTGTTGTTGTTGTTGTTGTTGTTGTTGTTGTTGTTGTTGTTGTTGTTGTTGTGGTGGTGATGGTGGTGGTGGTTGCCCGTCAGAAACCCGCGATACCGTAATGAAAAATGCCATCTATCTACCCGCTGCCAAGGTATTACTATAGTGGCCAGAAGTTGCAATGATCATTCAATGTAGTTATAGCACTGCAAAGATAAGGACCAAGGAAGAGCGCAGGACATTATTGAGTAAATGTTCAAGATGGTACGCCCCAAAACCACAATACAGTATGAAGCACGCCGTAGAAGAGGGCTCTGACAATTTGAACCATCTGGTGTTTTTATGTGAACCTAAATCTAAGTCCTTGGGCCTCATGCATTGTGTTCTGTATTGAAAAAAAAATCACAGCATATCCACGGAGGGAGGGATGATGAGTGTGGCGAAGCGTCCATCCGTCCATAAATGCGTTCATGCGTCCGATCGTGTTCGAGTATGCAGACGGCGCGCGGTAGCACCGACGAGACGCGAGCCAAGGAAGCCGAGCGCAATCGTCTTCAACGCGCCTGGCGGTCTCCTTCATCCATGCCCCACTAACGATTTGCCAAATATGCGTCGACTATCCAGGAGACTGAAAGAGGCACTCATTATCCGCGTACCCAGGCACAGCCCGCGCAGCAGCCCATCTGAGAGTAGCGGTACGACGCCATCTAGAATATCCTCACTCAACTGCAGTTTGTATGTACTTCTATAAGACAGCGCTGTCTATTACACTGTGCGAGAGATACTGTCTTCTTTCTTGTCTCTTCTGCTTTCGGTTACGCATCACACATGACAAGGTTACATCTGTGGCATGCATCCTTTCAAGGCGGAAGGCCAAGCTGCATGCAGCAGACATGGCAGCGGCCAGACAGCTAATCGAGGAGGGCTTTGCAGGCAAAAAAGAAAATAACAAGCTTTATTGACCTTCGGTTCAGCAGCAGGGAAAAGGGGCAGAACGTACGTTCGTTCTGTTCTCTTCCATGGTCCCTAACTGCATTTTCACCGCTGTGGCTTCATTGAATGCATCGAACCAATTAGCCCAAAAGTCTACTCATGGCAGAGATCATTTACCTCCTCCGCACAGACGTGATTGTAGCCGGATTTCATGTGTCGACGTCCCTAAAGTGGCAGCTCTCGATTACCTTCAGAGCACTTCGCTCGTTTTCGTAGAATCCACCATGGAGAGCAGTGCCGGTCAGGCAGACTCCAGGGAACTTCCTCTATCTCTTGCTCCAGTGGGTGCTGCAGATTTTTGTTACAAACTTTCTCAGACATCCATTTTGTCCTTTGGAATATGATTTATGTCCGTCTTTGAAACAATCCTAGTGCTTTACTGCACACGCCGGACATCGGTGGTGGCTTTGTATTCGTGCTGTTTCCTGGTAACGAGACTGGCGCATCAAAATCCAATACGGCCTCCACTGACGAGGCTGCGTTACAGACTAGGACTTACTCTGCATTAAATTGAATGCTTCGGTGGCGGCTATCTTGTTTGACCTGTCGCAGGTGTAAACCTGCAACAGGTCAAAGTTCAACTTGTACAAAAGACCACCGTCAAATTTAAACATTTTAGGCCGGCATGTCCGCGGGCGTAACTTGTCTTAAACCAACATAAGGACGCTATTGAGGCTCGTGCGAACCTAAACAGGCATCTGCCGGTCTCGGCGATTTGCATCTTTTCTGTTGAATGGTGTATGAACTGGCTCGAATTACAGGCGCATATTCATCCGCCTTGATCTGGCCAGTTTTTGAAGTATAGAAGGAGGCGGTCACATGCCGAACTTAGCAGCAAAAGCACGTTTATTTTCTGGCTGTACGCCACGCCACTTTTTCAATTTAAGGCTAATTTTATAATTTTTAGTGAAATCTAATTTTTTTCTAATTTAAACATAAGGCTAATTTTAGCCAGGTGTACAATTGCGCAAAATCATTCTTTGGCTGTCAGTGCTCATATTTTATTTTTATTTGGCAAAATATAAAACGGTAGTTATGTTACAGCTGGCTATCCCAACATCAAGACAGTAATGTACAAGATGAACGCACAAACAAGAAAAATTGGCAGTAAAATAAAACTAATCAGAAGCACTACGTACATAATATATACACTATATAGGGCTTATAATGCATGAATGAGCACAGTATCTATGAGGATAGTTCAGATAATATATCGTAATCACATTGTGGGCAGAGTCCATAAAAACATTCGCAAGGTATAATAAAAGCTAAAGCAGTCAATTAAATTTGTGTCCCCAACCTCACTCATTGAAAACTGTCGGACATTAAATAAAGTTTGTTCATTCATTCATTCATTTATTCATTCATTTCACAACCTCATCGAAGGCATGCTAGCACCCGCAAAAGAATGCAAGGTCCTGATGAAACCTCTTTCAATGCGTTCGAGAACATCGATGGCCTCCCGTTGCGGTGGCTGATCGGCATGTTTAACGTAGTCTGCCCGAATTATGAAAGAACGACGATATTGCACCAATGCTCCAGCCAGAAAAGCCCGCAGAGACGCGGCCTGTTCGTTGCCCTATCGTTCTCACGTGCACGTTGCTCACCTTCTGATGGTATAGATACTATCCCGCGAATTTTTTTAGGGGCCAAGCTCCTTATAGCGGCACTCGTTCGTCCCTCGTAGCCGTTCTAGTATGTAACAAGTATAACATTTTGACCTCCAAGAAAGGTGCCGGTGAGAAATTTCTTCTCTGCGTTGTTGAACAATAAAAAATAGTGCTTAATGTACATGCCAATGGCTGCTAATGGGGAATGAGAGACAGGAGCATTTGGATTTTAGTTAACGCGCACGCTGCGATCCCAATTAGCAGCCATTGGCTTGTACATTCAGCACTATCTGACAAGAAAGGGTTGCTACGCTATACTCGCTGGGTGTAACCTCCTTAGTTTTAGAAAGGTTTAGCGAGTGTTGAGCCACAGTGCCATGAATACAATGAACTAGTATATATACCATGAATGAACTCGACGTGGTTAAAGGTGAAAAGTAGATACGAAGCGCAAGCCGCAAGAAAGTAAAAGCCCAATTCTCCTGTCTATCATTTCCCATTAGCAGCCATAGGCATGTACATCGAGCACTATCTGACAGGAAAAGGTTACTACGTTATACTCGGTGAGCGCAACCTCCTTGATTTTAGAAAGGTGTAGCGAGCGTTGGGCCGCAGTGCCATCAATACAATGAACTAGTATATACCATGAATGAACTCGAGGTGGTTAAAGGTGGGAAGTAGATACGTAGCACAAGCCGTACGAAAGTGTGTGTGTGCCACGTCTCGTTTAGTCCTTGGAATGTCCTCTGGGTGGCGGTGCTTCTATATGGGGAATATATGATGAAAAGATGCGAGATAGTGGTATTTGGAGTGTTGAATAGATGGACGAACGGACACACAGACAGATGCACGGTTGGGCGCATGAACGGACGCAGGGGCAGATGCATGGACGAACGCACGGACGAACGCACGAACAGACGCACGCACGGACGGGCAGATGGACACATGGACAGTCACACAGATGGACGCATGGACGGACGAATGCTTCGCCCCTCTCTCCAACATTCACTACGTGGATATGCTGCCAATTTTTTTTTACATTCAGGTTCTGCTTAGGGTACGGCCTGTACCAGGATTTGGCAACTTGCTGCTGGGCAGGCAGTAATATGCAGTTCCCCTACACGACGTCAGTACTCCTACCCCGGCCTCCCTTTGTCACCTCTTATCTCAGTTCTGACCTAATATAGGGTGTTTGCTTCTAACATAATATGGTGATTCGGAACATTGTGATATGTATCCTATTCCAGTGTGGCACAATAATGTAAGTTTGCGTATACGTTATTTTTTTTCGCCTGAAATGCCCTCCTCGATTTGCTGACTGGCCGCTGCCATGTGTGCTGGATACAGCTGGGCCTCGAAAGGATGCATGCCACAGGCCTAGACCATTTCACGTCCGTGGTGCTTCTGAAAGAAATATTACGCAGCACCTGAAGCTTGCATATTAAGAGTGCACGCAAAGCTTGCGACAACATCAGCCACTCGTCTACTTTGCGCTTACTGCGAATGCGGCAGCTTCCACCACGCGTATACGGCTTTATGGTGTCTTGTGGTACATTCCGCCATCTGCATCCGAATCGGCTCGGAACGAAGCAAATATCTTATTTCGAAGCTAGGTGTGCCGACGGGTTTTGTGCTGCATGTTTAATATAGTGCTATCACCTATCGCGTAATGCCGCCCACCGTGATACCGCTGTTTGCTGCCGCCCACCTGATGGAAGTCGTGGCGAGCTTCTTACATTTACAAATCAGGTGTTAGCATACGCGTGTGAAAACCGGTATATGGTGATTATCGGTTGTGACCTAAGGGGCCACTCACTAGGTTTGACAATTTTGAGCTGACAAGCGCAATGCGTACATGAGGCGTTCATGATCACGTCTGCAAAATTCGCAACGCTACGCGCCGCGGAAATGGGTCAAATGTCAAGATTGGCGCTGCTCCTCTTTCTTTTGGCGGGAGTGCGCCCAGAGAATGAGAGATGACGTGCGCGAATGAATGGCCCTCAGTACACGGCAGTACAGTGACGTTGGTCCTCTACGTAGACGGCTGCGCTTTGACATTGCCAGCGGTGACACGTGGCATGGCAAAAATCATTTAACACGACATGCATAGTTCCTGTAATTAGTTTCTTGTAGAGCATAACAAAAACTCTAGATAATGAGACGCAGTAAGAAAATGTGAGTGCCTTTTTTGCATTTTTCTCCCGTGAATTACAACGAGATGCGGGGCTAATGTGTCGGCGTTTCGCATCCGTTCATGTCCCCGCGGTCAGCGCATCGAGCAGACGACAGCCATGGAACGCTCCTACGTGTTCGCGCACTCATTGTGCTCATCTATTCTAGCGCGTCTAAGCCAGCGTTTCCAAACCAACCCGCAGAAACAAGCAGTAAACCTCAAAACAACGCTGGTAACAAAAAACAAATAACACTGCTCGCGGGATTGGGCTTGTTCGGGCACGCCATGCGCACGTCACCTCTTGGTAGGATGCCGGAGAGAGTAGGGAAGAGAGTTAATTTCCTCCTCCTCGACTATCTTCAACACTAGCTAAGGAGGGAAGATGTTTAAGGTTCGGAATGGGTCTCCTCAATGACTCGAGTGCACGGTGGCAGCACGAAGGAAGAGCCGTAGTCCGGTGAAGAGACGCTTTATTGCAGCCTCAGGCGACTGCCCGAGTCCAAGCCCGAACCTCCGCTCTCATTTCAAATTCAAACATCCTCTTTTCAACCCTTGGTCGAACAAAGAGTCTTCACAAAGACCAATCACATGTTGGGACTCGCATCATCACAACCAATCACAGAAACACTTTCATAAAGGCACTACATTTGTTAAAACCTCGTCACCAAATGAAACACGCAAAGGTATAGGCTCTCCGCACGTGACACTCTCTCCCATGCCAGGCCGTGCTGCCCAACATTACTAGTGCTGCCTCCATCGGCCGACTTCCGTCGGCAGCCGTTCTCACGCTCGAGCCCCGTCAGTTCTTTCATTAATTGTTGCTTCCTAGAAGCGTCCTTAAGAGCGATGGTTACACCATTGGGCTCCGTGCGCTTACCAGGTGTACATGCGACAACGAGGCGCCCCGACATCCTAACAACAGCGGGGGAGAATATGGTCGTTTACCTGCTGCCACTATGTCTCGGTCAGCCAAGTGGTCGCGTCCCCATGTCAGTCTCAATGACACGCGTGCCTGCCAACAATGGCTTAAACTCAGACGGTGGCGCCTGACCTGTTTCTTGCTAGACGCTTTTCCGAGTAAGCTTTCCCCTTCTAATCCCGAACGAGGGCGACCTTGACTGCTCCGCTTGTGAGCCGTGAGAAAGAAGAAGTCTCTTTTCTTTCCCGGCTCGGGTCATCCGCGTTCACTTTCGCGGAACCGATTCAGCTTCCTTAGTTGACGGGTCGGGAACTGGCTACGCGCTCTACATCAGCCGCACTAATTGCGCTGCACCCCACATGCTGGTAATTGGTGCGTCATACTAACTCCTCCCCCCTCAAGAGTGTTACTGGATACTCGATGTCCAGTAACACAATACAAAAACAAACAAAAAATAGCTCAAAACAAACTTGCTCTTGGTGCACGCACATGCGTGAACTGATTATCACTCCCATCTCAGCAGGTGAACTTTCGCATCCTTGTGCGAAATGGACACAGCGACACATATACATAATGCCCTCAAATAGTCCTCCGACAGAAAGCACTCTCGTAATGCACGACACTGAATAATGCACTTAGGATGAAGTCCACAGCACTAGTCAGTTCCCATTAGCTTGTCACAGGGCACACGCACTATGCAAAGTCCGGCGGCATATTGTCTTTTAAACTCATAACACACGGTCATTGTCCCAACACGGGAGACCCACTTCATGCGCCCTCCAGGCCCCGCATGATACACTTAAAGAGAGCGATGGACCCAGCGCTATAGGTATACCTCAGTCTGAATGGATCGCACTAAGACAAAAACTTATAATGAACTTCACCAGTCTACCCTATTTTATCTGCACAATTATTCCTACATAACTCATATAATACACCTAAAAATAGTTCCACCACTTAGAGGCAAGATCACACCTCAACAACAAAAGCACACAAAACATGCCTCGTACAAAAAACAAGACATTTTCACATTACACCGGAACTATTAGTCAGTTTGACCTACTTCAAAATCACGCATAGCACTTAAATGTGCGATGCAAACTCCTGTACAGTCCTTCAATTGAGAAAGACTACTTCAGTGGCTACGTATTAACCACAACAACCAAATACAACAACAACTCAACCATATGAAACAGACAAAACGTCACCTTGCCTCTAAACAGTTACATTCGCTGAATCCAATGATCAACCGATACTCGAAAGAGGATCAGCAACCTCGCTCAAAGCGCTCTAATTACGAACATTTTTTTTATTCGCCTCTCATTCAACTGTGGACGCCTCCCGTTGCGACTGGTTCAGTCTATTACTGAAGAATGCGACTGATCGTTCCCATTCCCCTATCGTTTGGGAGAGGTAACCCTCATTGCCCTTTCCGATGCGTTCGTAGCCAAACAAAAAGCTTCGCTGGGTTGGTTGCCGTCACTCAGAAACCAACGCGAAAGCCTCTAACTCATCAAATGCTACCGGTGCCTCTGCGTTGCACGGCAGCGTGTTCAACACTCTCGAACCGCCGTTACCAATAAATAGCAGACTTTTCACTAAAAGCCATTCACCATGTCACCACTCTTCGGTAACACGCCATACCTAAACACTAAAAAAAAAGAAAGCGCAAAACTAGTTACTGAAATAACTTCTCTCCGCGGCGATTGCATAAAAAATTGTTTCAAAACTAAAAAAAGACAACGCAGAACAAAAATACCTTCAAAAAAATCCGGTAGTTATATCCTTCCAAGAACGTACGGCTCCACTTCACTCTTGAGTCGCACACGTGACGGTCCCATCCTGACAACCTTTCCTTTCGAACGGGGTATACGCCAGACATAGAACTCCCTCGTTCCACCACCGAAACCCAATGCTAGCCGCTTTTTGACGCGCTTTCTCGTTTTCTTTTCTGGGCAGTTTCCACCGCAAGAGTTGTCGATCGCTGACACTTCGTCTCGGCTCGACTCTGACACCACAGACTGGCGGGGCAGTTTCCCGTCCAACTGCGCCCTATCAGTTACCCTCACGTGCGACACCTTTTTCACCTGACGCCGCACATCGGCCAGTGGCTCATCTCGTTTCTTCTCTGCATAGAGAGGATTTCCATCAAATGGACCAAGCCTCTCGATGTCCACAATAGCACATTACGCCGCAAATTTGAGACTTTTCAACTCCCCCTGCTCTACAAGGTAAGCGGACTTAATCGTTTGCGGCTCCCTTGTTCGGCCGTCCTATTTCTCCACTGTGCGCTGCACGGCGTTAGCGCTAAGGCTAAAATTTCGAGGCACATGATCTGGCTCCCTCCTCGGTGAATACTGCTCCTGTCTAATCTCCCGCTTTACACAGTTCACCCGCACATCACCCTCCTTTAGACAATTCAGTCGCTTTTGCCGTTGGTGACGGAGACATTTGTAATCCTTCGGTGTAAGCGAAACGGATACACTGGAAGCCAACTGATCAGTAACCACGCATCGCAATTTCACCGGCTGAGCAACACTTCCTGGTGAGACTGGGAGTCTGAGAGGTACCCACACTAGGCGCGCGGTCATACCCTGCCCAAAAGCGTCGGTTAGCTCTATTGTGCCGCTACTCTGACCCAAAATATCAGCGGACACTTTATTCTCGCGTACTACTGTCACATCCGCACCTGAGTCAACGCGTGCGAAAGTTGGCTTGTTTCCCACGAGGATCTCAATCTGCGGATCCCTCATCAGCGAGTTTTTCATAATCGCAGATTGTCGCAATGGTGCGGTACGGCTTACCCATAATCGCTTCTTCTGGGATGCCACGCTTAAAACTTCGGCTGTATTAGCAGCAGTCTCACGGGAAAATTTGCTATTTCTCTGAAAGTGACCCTGTTTTCCGCAGCCAAAACACGATCCTGATTTGGGGTTGCAATTTGTTCTAGCAAAGGGTTTCGATTGCGGCCCGTAATTGAAATTTCCTGTTTCTGCACAGCGGTAACTGCACTGCCTGCTGCTGTCGAAGCTTTCTTCAAAATTCGTGGCTAACTCCGCAACATCCTTGGCCTTCAACCAGCCCTTAACTTCCTGCTGAATGACCAGTGAGCGGAGATTACTTGGCAATAACTGCTTTAGCCTGTCCGCTGTAAGCAACTCCTGAAGACCTTCAAATGTATCCAGCTATCTACTTCTCACGTAGTACGCAAACATAGTCTCTAGGCGCGCCGTCACTTGGCTCCAAGACTCGCGTGCCTCTCTTTTGATTTCAACGGACATTCGCCGGTACTCGCTCGGAGTCATCCTCAGCTCCTTCAGCACCCTCGACTTTATATCTAAATACGGCATTACCCCAGCTTCTGCCTGATTGGCAACGAACGTACGCATCTTATCGGTTAAGAATGGCAACAGAATCGTGCCCTGAATTTCCTCAGGAATGCTCAGCGCCGCAAAAAGAGCGTCCACGTTCTTGAACCAAGCCAGAATTATCGGCTCACTACAGGGCATAGGCACTAGGACTGCTTTCACCTCTTTCGCGTACCATGCGATACTAGCATGCCGGTTCCGGTTTTCTGACTCCTCTGACAAGACACGCGATGACTTCACTTTCTCAAGCTCAAGCTTGAGCTTTAACGATTTTATCTCGAGCTGCAACTCGCGGGTGCGATCCAATTCATTTCCACTGTCACCTTCCATCACATTTCTCTCTGAATCCGCCATCTCTCAGAGTGTGCCTGAACGCAAGTGCATACAGTTAAAAAAAAATGGGGGCCCCGAGACAGCACAAAGCAGGCCTCACCTTGCAGTGATGCGTCGCCCGATGAACTTGATAGTCGAAACTGCGTCCGTCTTGTCACCAGCGCTATGTGCGATGACCACTTCCAATGCAGCAGGTCTCCGCTCGATCACGCCTGTCGCTGACTCACATTGACTGTCTCTGGCTGCTCTGCTCCTGAAGCAGCACCCTGTAGTGCCTCTCCGGTAAGTCCGTCACTCAACGACGACCTTTGGCTCTGCTCTCCTTCACTGACGCGCAGCCGAACTCCAGGCTCCAATGTTGACCAGCAGGCTCGTACCGAATGTCAATGCTGCTTCTCGCAGCGCAACAGCAGGTCCCGAAGCGGTGAGCGTCTTCTAAGCTTCCCGGACTTCAGCGCCTTCCTCGCTGCGGGCTCTCCACTCCACGTCGACTGCGCCAGTTAATTTCCTCCTCCCCGACTAGCTTCAACACTAGCTAAGGAGGGATGTTTAAGGTTCGGAATGGGTCCCCTCAATGACTCGAGTGCACTGGTGGCAGCGCGAAGGAAAGAGCCGTAGTCCGGTGAAGAGACGCTTTATTGCAGCCTCAGGCGACTGCCCGAGTCCAAGCCCGAACCTCCGCTCTCATTTCAAATTCAAACATCCTCTTTTCAACCCTTGGTCGAACAAAGAGTCTTCACAAAAACCAATCACATGTTGGGACTCGCATCATCACAACCAATCACAGAAACACTTTCATAAAAGGCACTACATTTGTAAAAACCTCGTCACCAAATAAAACACGCAAAGGGATAGGTTTTCCGCACGTGACACTCTCTCCCATGCCAGGCCGTGCTGCCCAACATTACTAGTGCTGCCTCCATCGGCCGACTTCCGTCGGCAGGCCGTTCTCACGCTCGAGCCCCGTCAGTTCTTTCATTAATTGTTGCTTCCTAGAAGCCTCCTTAAGAGCGGTGGGTACACCGTTGGGCTCCAGTGCGCTTACCAGGTGTACATACGACAGCGAGGCGCCCCGACATCCTAACAACAGCGGGGGAGAATATGGTCGTTTACCTGCCACCACTATGTCTCGGTCAGCCAAGTGGTCGCGTCCCCATGTCAGTCTCAATGACACGCGTGCCTGCCAACAATGGCTTAAACTCAGACGGTGGTGCCTGGCCTGCCTCTGGCTAGACGCTTTTCCGAGTAAGCTTTCCCATTCTAATCCCAACGGGGGCGACCTTGAATGCTCCGCTTGTGAGCCGTGAGAACGAAGAAGTCTCTTTTCTTTCTTGCGCTCGGGTCTTCCGCGTTCACCTTCGCGGAACCGATCAGCTTCCTTAGTTGACGCGTCGGGAACTGGCTACGCGCTCTACATCAGCCACATTAATTGCGCTGCAACGACATGCTGGTAATTGGTGCGTCATACTAACTGAAGAGATTTGGCTTGCGAAGGCTACGCGGAGAAGCGGCAAGGGTGGCGAGCTCGCCTCCTCTCACCCTCTTTTCGCGTCCTTCAAAAAAAATAAAATATCCCCTTCAGGCGCGAATTAAATCTGGCAACGTGAAATTTTTTTGTTCATAATTTCAATATTTATGCCTTTTAAGTAAGAAACTCGAAACAAATGCAAAATATGTTTATTGATTCAATTTTTGCTCAGCGTCCACATTTGTGGACATTGCGCCTCAAAGCAGTAATATTAGTAAAAAGCGACAAAGAAGAAAACACGCTTTCCATTTAAATTCAAAATAACTTCTTTCAAAGTAATGTTGAGAGAAGTTACCAGAAAAAGTCTGTTTATAGTGAAAGAGGTAGAAGCAGTCATTCTGCGATGTCAGGCAAAGAAAAATGTCACACTTCCTGCAGCGGACGCGGCTCTTGGATGAGCATCCATCCCTCCTGCAGCGTTGTGCGTTGGGTATGTTCATTTGCTGTGGCCAGTAACGGATGCCGTCATAACGAAGAGTGCTCACTGGCAGGGGTGACACATTGGGTGCCTTCCTTTTCATCACCTGGGGGTTCTCACTGCTTGGTCGCGCACGGTTTTTCTGGGGCATGTTGACGCTCAGCTGATGATGATGATGATGATCCTTGATAGTCTGGCGCACACCCACAAAGGGGGATCAGCCAAGAACCGGGCGGCAAGATCTTAACTAAAAGGCTAATGGTTTTTCAAACAAAATATAATTTTGTGTTCTCTTCATTCTCTTCCTCCTTTTCGTCGTCCGAGATGTCTCCATCGGAAACATCTCCATTGGCTATTTTTTAAGGACGTCTTCTATTGTTTCACCGTCGACTTTTTGTCGTCTCGATGCATGATCTTGAACTCCTGGTGACAAAAATGATTAACGTAAACATCATTTGATGCTGCCGGAAGTGAAACACAGAGAAATAGCAGCCTTTCAACAAAGGAGGCACTGAAGCGCAGTGTCCACGTTCGTGGACGCGAAATTTAGCTGAACCTTTCTGTCATCACAAATGATTTCCTATTGCCAAAATATTGTTAAAAGGCATGCGGGATATCTTAGTTATTACTGACAAATGCAAAATTTCACGCCAGCTAAAAAGGTACGAAGTAAACGTTAAAAACATCAGAGCCACTTACGCGTCCCGCCATAGAAAGTGGAGGCGTCCATTTTGACTTTTGTTTACGATGTTATTTTGAACCAGGTGCAAGAGATGGCACCACGCGTCCTTGCAGCAAGATGCAGAGGTCGCAGGAGCATTGTTTGCGCGCGAGATTCAAGACCTATTTTCGAAACACCTAGGTGTGAACTTGGCGTCCACAAATGTGGACGTTGCGCCTGAAGGGGATATTTCTCAGCTCGTAATGAATCGATTAAAAAACTATTTGTGGCAAAATGTTCTTTATCGGACACCCAACAACTTCCACGGTTTGACCTGAAATTTGGTATGGGGCCTGGTGACAGGCCCTCTAAACATCCATATCAGCTCGTGGACACTAGACAAGATTTATTGAATGTAATTTCTTTTGACAGATGTGTAAACGTGATACAATAGAGCACTAGTATCACACGCTTTTCTGAAACGATATAACCTTTATTTATCACAAATTATGATCATTCACTTGTTAAAAGCGCTGTTCTGACTTATCGAAATGGATATCACAATCCAGTATGCATACTACAGAATAAGAACCCCTAGGAAAAAAAACAATTACCTATTTCAGGACACCGATGATCATACCATGGTATCTTTCCATACA